TGGTCTCAACCTCCAGCAGAACCTGCTGCGGAGCAGGTTAGCCGTTCAGCTAGGTTACCATGGTGATGGACCCGGTAAGAAGAGAACCACCATCGTCGGACTGAAGACCCAGGATTTACCCTGAAGATACCTCGCTAACCCCAGATCCTGCTTCTAGTCCAGGCCCCAGGAGAGAACCCACGCTGCACGGGGAGAACATGGAGACTCCACACAGGAAGATCCCGGGTGTCCTCACCGGGACGCCAACCGGCGACCTTCTAGCTGTGAGCCGCTAACGGTGCTAAACACTGATCCACCTGCAGCCCGCAAATATAACATCAACAACAACAATAACAACAAAACAACAACAATGAACAACATCACCGACAACAACAACGTCAGCAACATAAACAACATCAACAATATAAACAACAACATAAACAACAACACAAACAATGTAAACAACAGCATAAACAACATCAACAACACAAACGATGTAAACAACAACGTAAACAACGTAAACAACAACATAAACAATGTAAACAGCATAAACAACAATATAAACATCAATGACATAAACAACAACATAAACAATGTGAGCAACAACATAAACATCAACAAAATAAACAACAACAACATAAACAACATCAATAACAATTACAGCAACAACAACACAAATAATTGATCAACAGTGAAAACAATCACAAGTTTGAACTAAAACAAGGAGAACAGTAAAATACTGAGTGCTCTGCTTCGAGTACTTTTAATACTTTGAGTACATTTTACTGAAGATGCTGACATACTTCCAGCCTCCTGTAAAACCAGACAGCGTATTCACCGTCTGGTTCTGGTGCTTCCCTTCAGACCGCCTGGCGGTTCATGTACATGGCCTCTGGTCTGCTGAATGAATAATACATGGTGCTGGTCCGTCTGCTGTCACACCTACGGCTCTGATCGATGGGCTGAATAAAAGCTGCTGCTGTTATCTGATGCCGTCGCTGCTGAATTTCCTCTGAGCTGCTGTTCAAACAGACACACAGCAGGTCTGCAGCAGATGCTCAGATAACGCTGGGCTGATGTTCAGCTGATGTTCAGTGTGAAGCAGCGTCTCTGCCTGCAGCAGCCAAAGGTGGCGTTCAGGACAACAAACAGCAGCGACACGCTTCGCTTCACACAGAGCTCCCCTGAACCATGTTTGAACTCTGAAGCTACCTATGAAGAAAAGTACATTTACTCGAGTACTTCAGGACAGCTGAAATAATGACACTAGGGCTTGGTGTGAGGTACTGATCCGTCAGACGTGGATTCTATCATCCTGACATGTTTCCGTCTTTGTGATGCTGCAGCATCAACGACTAACTTCCAATCAGGGATCAGTATCTACTCTCATCTGCAGTCTTTCTATTTTCATGTTCTGCTAATTGAGTCTTTCATCTTTTTACTGCGAAACCTCTACATGTATGTAAATACTGATCTGAGCTGCAGCAGTGATCAGTTTGAGTATTGATCAATCTGTTGATTATCATCTCGGCTGATCAGCTGTTTGGTTCACTAAATTACACAAACATCAGTTTCTCAACATCACCGTTTATTTTGTAGCAGAGAAACTATGAAAATGAGAAGATTTGTTGTTTGCAGAAACTGATCAGCTGATCGATCACAGCTTTGATCTGTGTGTTTATGTGAAGTAAAGCTTCATGAAAACTTCTCTCCATCTTTTTCAGCTGGTTGAATTTTACAGCAGTCACTTCATCCCCCGTCTGCTGGAAGACGACTGAGCTTCAGACCAGTTTAACCAGTAGAGCTGATGAGACTGAGCTTCAGACCAGTTTAACCAGTAGAGCTGATGAGACTGAGCTTCAGACCAGTTTAACCAGTAGAGCTGATG